TGGGTCGCGCTAACCCTCACCTCAAGGGTCGCTGGAGACTCGGGAGTCAGACTGACCAGGAAGGTGCCCGGCGGCTTGCCTTGTATGCCGCCGGGCTCCCTCCAATCAGTCTGCCCAGCACCTCTGGTCTGCAGCTTCATAGCAACACTCTGGGAGCTCTCAAGACTTTTATTACATGGTCTGCAGCTCTGCACCTTCACTCCCTGCCCTCCCACTGTAACTCCTTCACTCCATGCCCCCCTCCCCCCACTGTAATCCCTTCACTCCCTGCTCCCCTCCCCCCCACTGTAACCTCTTCTCTCCATGCCCCCCTCCCCACTGTAACCCCTTCACTCCCCCTCCCCCCACTGTAACCTCTTCTCTCCCTGTCCCCCTCCCCCACTGTAACCCCTTCCCTACCTGGCCCCACCCCCCCGTAGCCCCTTCACTCCTGCCCCTCCCCCACTGTAACCTTCTACCCCTATTCCTTCCCCACGGTAACCCCTTCACTCCCTGCACCCTCCCCCACTGTAACCCCTTCTCTCCCCCTGTAACCCATCTACCCCCCTCCCCACACTGTATCCCCATTACTCCCTGCCCCCACTGTAACCCCTTCTCCCCCCTTCCACACTGTAACCTGTTCTCTTCCTGCCCACATGCTGTAACCCCTTCTCTCCCTGCCCCCACTGTATCTCTTTCCCCCCTGCCTGCCCACTGTAACCCTTTCTACCCCTGCCCTCACACTGCCCCCCACACTGTTACCAGCGCACACACTCCCTCCCACACTGCCACTCTTACCTCTCCCACACACTGTCACCCTCACCTCCTGTCTCTGCTTGTATGTGTATCTGTGTGTCCTTTTGTATCAGTGAGTGTGTATTTGTGTGTCTGTGTGTATTGTGTGTCAATGTGTATCTGTGTACATGAGTGTCTGTGTATCTGTGTGTGGGAAACTAGGTGTCATTGTGTGTCTGTGTGTATCGTTGTGTCAGTGTGAGTATTTGTGTGTCTATGTGTATACTGCACACATACTCCATACAAAAAACATGCTTACATTCAAACACACCTTGTGTATAGGTATATTTTATAAACACAATATACACACACTGCATCCACTACACACGCACTGCAATCAAAATCAAACATTACATACAAACACACCCCTGCATTAAAACACTAAAATTATCTACAAACACCCCTTCATTCAAACACCAACACAACACACAAAAAGCACAACTGCATTTAAAGTCCTACATTACATACAAACACCCATGCATTCAGACGCAAACATTACAAAGTACACCACTACATTCCAATGGCAACAGTACATACAAATACACCCATACATACACACATATACTTAATACAAAAACATGCTTACATTCAAACGCTCAAACACTGCTCACAAATATAACCCTGCAATAATGCGCAAATGGTAGATCCCCATCTGGCATAGCATTGTTGAAGTTCTCCGACAGATGGCCACACTTGCACTAGAGGGAGGTGCCTGGATGAAAGAGCAGGACAACAGCACTTCTGATTCTGAGTCTGTGAGTAAGCAGTTGTATGTCTCTAAAACTGATTGCTATGATGTGCAATGTTTCTGCCTCTAAAACTGCCATGATATCCCACAATTATGCCTCTAAAACTGCCATGTTACGCCAATTTTATGCATCTAATGCTGATTGCCAAGGTGTGCCAATTATATGCATCTAAAGCTGATTGCCATGGTGTGCCAATTTTATGCTTTTAAAACTATTTGCCATGGTGTGCCAATTGTATGCCTCTGAAGCTGATTGCCATGATGTGCCATCTAAAAGTGATTGCCATGATATGCCAAGTTTATGCATCTAAAGCAGACTGCCATGGTGTGCAAATTTATGTATTTAAAGCTGCCATGATGTTCCAATTTTATGCCTCTAAAGCTGGTTGCCATGGTGTGCCAAGTGTAAGCCTCTAAAACCAATTGCCATGGTGTGCCAATTGTATTCACTTAAAGTTGCCATGATGTGCCAAGTTTATACATCTAAAACGGATTGCCACGATGTACCAATTTTATGCATCTAAAGCTGATTGCCATGGTATGCCAATTACATAGTTACATAGCTGAAAAGAGACTTGTGTCCATCAAGTTCAGCCTTTCTCACATATGTTTTTGCTGTTGATCCAAAAGAAGGCAAGAAAATATAGTCTGAAGCGCTTCCAATTTTGCCACAAACTAGGAAAAAAAATCCTTCTTGACCCCAAAATAGCAGTCAGATGTCTCCTTGGATCAAGCAGCTATTACCCCGCTAATTAGAAATTATATCCCTGTATGTTATGTTTTTGCAAGTATTTATCCAATTGCAGTTTAAACATCTTTAATGACTGACAAAACCACCTCTTTAGGCAGAGAATTCCATATCCTTATTGCTCTTACTGTAAAAAAAAAAACCTTTTCTTTGCCTTAGATGAAATCTGCTTTCTTCCAGCCTAAATGCGTGACCTCGTGTCCTATGTATAGCCCTGTTTATGAATAGGATTCCAGATAAAGGTTTGTACTGGCCCCGAATATATTTGTATAATGTTATCATATCCCCTCTCAGGCGTCGTTTTTCCAAACTAAACAGATTTAATTTTTTTAACCTTTCTTCATAACTAAAATGCTCCATTCCTTTTATGCATTGTATGCATCTAAAGCGGACTGCCATGGTGTGACAATTTTATGCCTCTAATACTGATTGCCACGGTGTGCCAATTGTATGCATCTAAAGCAGATTGCTATAGTGTGCTAATTTTATGCATCTAAAGCTGCCATAATGTTCCAATTGTATGCCTCTAATACTGATTGCCACGGTGTGCCAATTGTATTCATCTAAAGCAGATTGCTATAGTGTGCCAATTGTATGCATCTAAAGCTGCCATAATGTTCCAATTGTATGCCTGTAAAGCTGATTGCCATGGTGTGCCAATTGTATGCCTCTAAAGCTGATTGCCATGGTATGCCAATTGTATGCATCTAAAGCGGATTTCCATAGTCTGCCAATTTTATGCCTCTAAAGCGGATTTCCATAGTCTGCCAATTTTATGCCTCTAAAACTGATTGCCACGGTGTGCCAATTGTATGCATCTAAAGCAGATTGCTATAGTGTGCCAATTGAATGCATCTAAAGCTGTTTGCCATGGTGTGCCAATTTTATGCCTTTTAAAAGTCATGGTCATGGTGTGCCAATTGTGTGTATCTAAAGCGGATTGCTACTGGTGTGCCAATTGTATGCCTCTAAAGCTGATTGCCATGGTGTTTTAAAATATGCATTAAAAGCAAGTGGGTCTCGAAAAATTACAGTTTTGAAAAGTGGGTCTCGGCCCATAAAAGTTTGGGAAGCCCTGCTCTAGACAATTCCCAGAATGAATACTCTGAGGAATCCATGAAGATGGATACATTCAGAGATATGGAATCATCGGATGAGGAAAATCAACCTATTTTAGTAGTTCCAGAATCCTCTCTGATTTCCAGAGTCCTTTTACCTCTAGCCTTTCTTTTCGGATGTCAGAGGCTGTAGGGTATCTTTTCCAGTTCCAAGTCCCCTTAAGATACTTAAAGGACCACTATAGTGCCAGGAAAACATACTTGTTTTCCTGGCACTATAGTGCCCTGAAAGTGCCCCCACCCTCGGGGTCCCCCTCCCGCCCGGCTCTGGAAGGGGGAAAGCGGTAAAAACGTACCTTTTTCCAGCGCTGGGCGGGGAGCTCTCCTCCTCCGATCCTCCTCTTCTCCTCCCCGTCGGCTGAATGCGCACGCGCGGCAAGAGCTGCGCGCGCATTCAGCCGGTCATATAGGAAAGCATTCATAATGCTTTCCTATGGACGCTGCGTGCAGAAGCGCCTAGCGGCTGTCAATGAGACAGCCGCTAGAGGAAATAGGGGAAGGCTTAACCCATTCATAAACATAGCAGTTTCTCTGAAACTGCTATGTTTATGAAAAAATGGGTTAACCCTAGCTGGACCAGGCACCCAGACCACCTCATTAAGCTGAAGTGGTCTGGGTGCCTAGAGTGGTCCTTTAATGGAGGAATGGTTCTACACAGAGAGAAGTTTTCAACACAAGGGAGTGTCTCAGTCTTCATCCATTGGAATTTCAGACACTAGTACCTGGGACTCTGCTCCTAAGTAGACGATGCAGTCCTTAGATTGGCTAAATGTTCCTCTCTGCCTGTAAACAATGCGGGATCTCTCTGAAACTCCATGGAGTATACATGGTCCTGCTCCTCTCTAAAGCCTATGTAGCAGCTGGCACAGGCTTTCATGTTGTTGTAAGGTCTTACCTTAATCTCTAAGGATCTAAGATTGGTATGGATAATTTGGAGGAGCATATCAGGGATAAATTTCCTTTGTCTGTTGACAATTTACAAGTCATTAATCCGGAAATAGTCTTCAGCTAAGAAGCCTACGTAGGTTGCATTATATTCTAGCCAGAAATATGACTTTCTTTGTGTCTATCAGCTGGGCTCTTTGGCTTAGTACCTGGTCCACAGATGCATCCTCCTATTTTTAAGGATCAAGAGAACGGCAGAGGGCAGGAAAGCTTCAAGACCTAAGGTTCAGGAGACCGTTTTGATCCAAAGACTCTCATTAACTTTCTACTTGGACCAAGGTATTTCACACCAAGAAGAGAGTATGCTAGATCTCAACCTTGATGTAAGTGGTCATTATTCTACTAGAGGAAGAGAAAAGGTAAAAAGAGATGCATTGTCAATCTCATGGCTTTCCTTCAATTAGAGGAAGCTATTGTGAGAATTTTTTTAAAGCACCTAGAACACAAATAATCTGTTTCTAACAGGTGTTGGAGATCCATTCTAGTTTACAGGATTCTTGAACATTCTTCTTTATAAAGGTAGTATTCCGGGGGCGTGTCCGACTTCCGGCGAGAACGGACGCATGGCTTGAGAGCTCCGCCGAAAATCTAGCCTGACAGCGACAACAGAAGCAAAAACTGCACATTTGCCCACCCATCCGTGCTCCTAAGGTATTACCCAACGACTATGTCACCCCCCAAACAGCTGAAGATCATGGACGCGGTGAAAACCCGGAATAAAGACCGGAGAAAAGACAAACAAGATGGCGGCGACACACCTGGCTTGTCGGACGACCAGTCAGATGCTGAATCAATCTCCTCCAAACTATCGGACTCAATGATCACAGAACGAAGTCTGCACAGAATGCTGCAAGATCTCCGCTCTACCATTAGGAAGGATTTCCTACAAATTGACAGTGAACTGAGGAAGGAAATCACAACACTGGGCGAAAGAACTAGCCATCTTGAAAACAAATCCGACGAGCTGTGTGTAGCTCACAATGAAGTTGTTGATAAACTTCAGAAACTCTCAGAAGACAACAATATGCTTCAATTAAAATTAGCAGATCTAGAGGATAGATCCAGAAGGCAGAACGTAAGATTCAGGGGTATACCGGACGATATATCCCACGATGCTCTTCCTGCTTATATACTATCTATTTGTAAAATCTTAGTTCCAGACTTACCATACTCTGCATGGACTTTTGACCGCATGCACAGACTTCCACGCCCGGCACGTATGGCACAAGATGTCCCTAAAGACACTATTGTGAAGTTTCACTACTTTGCACACAAGAACACTCTGCTCAACGCAGCAAGAAAGGCAGGCACTCTACCTGACCCCTTTCGAAATATATTCCTATTTGCTGATCTGTCAGCTTCCACTATGGCACGTAGAAAAGAATTTATAACCATCACCAAAACCCTACGCAATAATAATATCTCCTACAAGTGGGGTTACCCAACAAAACTCCTGGTCTGGAGACAAGGCAGAACACTGGTTATAACCGAACCAACCGAAGGCATGAAGATAATCACCTCCTGGGGGCTTTGGAATGCAACCACGACAACTTCACATGCCGCACAAGCAACAGACCTCTCCCCGAAGAAACTTCAAGCGGATTGGAATATGACGGGATCGTCTACTACAAAACCATGAACTGCCTATTAACTCAACATTCGCGGGAAGCGATGAGTATAACCTATACTGCAATATGCTGACAAGTTCTCATGTTCAATTGTTCTCTCTTTATTCTTTACTGTGTAATATGTCATTACGTTTGCATTGAATGTCAGCATAATTGACTCTAAAACTTAGTTAAGTTATATGCCTTAACTCATTTTTAGGGAGTAGATACTATGAAAATGTGGCAATGCATAATTGTACACGCCAGATATGAAGTGCACATTGCGACATGGACCCTTTCAGTTGTGCCTATTAGCCTGGTTCTCCGTGATCGCTCACGATCACCATGTGTCACTCAGCACAGATTCTGATTTTAATTGCGGGTGAAATTCTAAACCCAGTACTCCTGTACTTGGACTGATGTCCATAAAATGGTAGATTAACATCATTGCACCTAGTAAATGCAGCATATAAGTAAAATCACCGCCTATCTGAATATGAGCGATTAAACTAACTTAAAACCGTGCAACAATATACTACCAATCCCAACTTACTTTAGAAGGAATGAGCGCACGCGCTGGTATCACCAAAAAGTTTATTAAACATAGTATTTTTCTTTAGCTTACTTTATGTTCCTTCCTTGGATAAATCCTAATCTATGACTTTAAAACGGCAAAAAGCGTTGCAGCTGCATGCACCATGTCGCAGGTACACGTTCCCAAATAATAGCTTTCACAAGTGCATATGCTCTGACTGTATATAGTGCTGGGCGCCGTATGCAGGTCAGAAACAACAACCCTTCACCTACCAGCATACGGTGCAACCCGCCTTATTGTATTTATTTTACTTTATTTTAATTTTTTATTTATGTGTACACTTTATATTCGCTAGTCATGTCTTATGGTTTTACAGTTAAGTGGCCGAGTCCTATATTCAATGGGAGAGGAAGGACATCATAGACGATTGAGCGTAGACGAATCACTATTCGGCAACGTCGTCCTTCCAAAACCCCCCCCCCCCTCTCTAGCTTAGTATCACCACTACCCGGTTGTCATATTGATATCACCATCCCGTGTTTCATGTCACGCTCTAATAGAATTCGGAAACCGTTCGCCTGCCGAACGCATCCTCTAGCTCTGGTGACACGTTAGCAAATATATGAATATTGCAGATATACATTAGCACTACCTTCTTCACTCTTCCAGGCGTTGTAGTTTATGCCACATTGGATCTCCTCTCTTCTAATGATGTTTTTGTTACTTTTGTGTATTCTTACAAGCAGTTACTCACTGTTACGCGATTCACATCAGGCTGGAGGACCTCTCTCTTGCCCCCCAGGTCATGGCTCGAGACACTCATAGTGGTCTCAACATGTCCACTCTACACCTTCTCTTCAAAGAAGGTTCCTTTGTATATAGTTATGTGTTTCTTGTTAAATCCCTCTCTCTTCCCTTCTTCTCCCTCTACTTTTTACCCTCACATCCGAACGCATCACTAAGTAGCCCATCCGTACGCCTTACTGGACGCAATGATACACTTGATACTACTGGCTCTACTTCTGTGGAAGTGAACGTTCAATTGGCCCCTCATACCATAAGGACAGGACACCTAAGCGCAGCCACGAATGCTACCCAATCAATCAATGGCTAATACAATGAAAATTTTATCTCTCAATGTCAAAGGCCTCAACAGCCCGTACAAAAGAAGACAAGCTCTAAAAGACATGCACAACTCCAAAGCCGCTATAGTATGCCTTCAAGAAACTCATTTTTGTAAAAAGAACCCTCCTACTCTACGCTCCTCCAAATACCCCATAGCTTATCATGCTTATGCGCCAAACAAATCAAAAGGTGTAACCATCCTACTACATGCAGACTGGGTATTCACCCCAACCAACCAATATGTTGACCCAAATGGGAGATTGCTAGTTATAGTGGGAGACCTTAACGGAATCCAAGTGACGATAGCGTCCTTATACGCACCAAATGAGGCTCAATTCTCCTTTCTCAACAAAGCCATAAAGAAAATCTCCTCACTAAAACAAGGACATGTTATAATTTGCGGTGATTGCAACTGTACACTAGACCCTACATTAGATATTCAACGTGCCAACGATAAAAAGCCTAACAAACTAACCATCCACAACAGCAAATCATTTTCCAATCTTATTTTCTCTCACGACCTCTATGATACGTGGAGAAACCTATTCCCAGCTGCTAAGGATTTCACTTACTTCTCTCCGGTCCACTTAACATATACCCGAATAGATATCTGCTTGATAGATAAATCCACATTACCTCATCTTTTAGATCAAACGATAGGGACCAGAACATGGTCGGACCATGCCCCAATAATTATCACAATAGCAGTGCCTTACCCAACGAGAAGCCGAGGCAAATGGAGATTAAATGAGTCCATTCTTGACACACCTTCGTATTTAGAGAAAATTGCCCGCGATCTGCAAAACTATTTCGAGATCAACACTACAAATGATACATTAATAGAAACCCAATGGCTCGCTCACAAAGCGGTAATCAGAGGAGAATTTATCAAAATAGGATCAATCATCAAGAAGAAATCTCATAACCTACAGCGAAAGTTGCTCCAGGAACTCACGACTTTGGAAAATGTCAACAAACTATCCCCTTCTCGCAACACGACGAAACAAATAACAGAAACGCGTGAAGAGATACTAAAAATTAAGGTCAAAGAATTCACCACGAACGCAGCTAAACTTCAACGTCACTATTATGGCATGGGCAATAAAGCCGGAAAATTACTAGCAAACCAACTGAAATCCAAATATCTTCAAACGAAAATCCCATACATTCTCTCAAAGTCACAGATAAAAATATATAATCCTACCGACATAGTGAACGAATTAGCATCTTTCTATGAAGAACTATACAACCTAGACGCAAACGAGAATACGCACACCCCAGACAAAACAGAAATTCTAACCTATTTAGAAAAAATACAATTGCCAAAAATTTCACAACAACAAAATAACGCGCTTACTACCCCGTTCACGGAATCCGAAGTAGCTGCGGCTATCAAATCTCTCCCCAAGCATAAAGCCCCAGGCCCAGATGGTCTCCCGAATTACTATTATCTTAAATTAGAACCATACCTATCCCCGCACATAACCAAACTTTTTAATAAAATAAAAGAAACTGGCCACTTCCCTAGAACCATGTTGGAAGCATACGTCATTACCCTACCCAAGCCGAATAAACCACCCACTTCCTGTGGCAATCTACGACCAATTTCGCTATTAAATGCTGATGTGAAGCTCTATGCAAAACTTGTAGCCACAAGACTGAAACCCTTGCTATCTACCTTGGTTTCGGAAGAACAAGCAGGCTTCGTGCCTGGCAAGCAGGTGGGAGACAATACCAGATTTTGCATGGACCTCATCGACTGGGCAACTCGTCAACGTGTGTCCGGGGTCTTAATGGCCTTGGACGCAGAAAAGGCTTTCGATCGCCTTAATTGGACATACATGGAGACTGTTTTACAAGCTTATGGATTCTCGAAAACCTTCATTACGAGCATTATGGCCCTCTACTCCGCGCCATCGGCGAAAGTACTAAACTCAGGATTCCTATCTAAAAGCTTTGATATCTCCAATGGTACGAGACAAGGGTGTCCCCTATCCCCCCTCATATTTATCTTATGCCTAGAGCCTCTCATACGAACAATCAAACAAGACCCCTTACTGCCAGGCTTTCTCACACCAGCAGGAGAAAAGAAGCTGGCCTTATTCGCGGACGATGTTATTCTTTTTTTAGCAAACCCTAGAAGAGCCATTCCCCATCTCATGTATACTCTTGCCTCATATGGTAACTTGTCATTTTACAAAAACAACATCAGCAAAACACAAATACTCCCTCTAAACCTCGAACCCCAGGTCACAGCTGACTTGAAATTACAATTCCCCTTTGATTGGCGCAAGACTTCCGTTACGTATTTAGGTATCAAACTCACACTATCACACTCTCAAACTATAAAAGAAAATCATGAGGCAGTCCTATTGAAAATATCCAACCAACTGAAATCCTGGGATAATTTGAACACCTCGTGGATAGGAAGAGTGAATTCGGTTAAAATGATGGCGCTCCCTCATATTCTATATCTCTTCAGGACACTACCCATCACTCTTCCCAAATCGATTCTTATGAAATTCCAATCAACTATCAACGCGCACATCTGGAAAAGAAAACCTCCGAGAGTCGCTGCTCACTCCTTATGGAACCCCACCCATCAAGGTGGCCTGAGCGTTCCCAATATCACAAACTACTACAAAGCATCCACGCTAGCACAGAGCCTGGACATTATGTCAGGAAAAGCCAGCCCAATTTGGCTTCAACTCGAACAAGCATGTAGCCAACTTGATTCCCTATCTGACACTATGTGGGCCACAAAAAAATGCCCTACCCACCCACCATTGCCATGCACTAAATTTCTTCTGAACTCTTGGACAGCATGGAGCTCGAACCTCTGCTCCAAGCAAGAACTTCTTTACCTGGCCCCATTACGAGTCCTATCCACATTATCACCAGACTTGTCGTTAACACACTGGCATCACCAGGGCTTAACTCATGTCTACTCCTTGTATAACTCCAAAGGCCTTCGCACCTTCCCTGACTTACAGGTCTCTCATAACCTGCCACATAGGGATATCTTCCTCTACTTGAGAGTCAAGCATATATTGCATACTGCAACTGTTAAATATCAAGACCCATCGATACTAAGCTCAATAGGCCACTCTTGCTACAACATGAGCACAACTCGCCCCCCGCCGAAATTCCTCTCATTGTGTTACCTAGCCCAATTAAACATGTCAAAAGAAACCAAATTACCCTACATGCTACACTGGGAAAAAGACTTGGATACGGGGTTCCATCTCAAGGACTGGTTATCTGCGATAACAACTACCAAAAAATCCACCAAATGTGTTAATCTATGGGAAGCATACTTCAAGGTACTAATGAGATGGTATTTAGTGCCCGATAGGTTGAGTAAAATATATCCAACGGCTGCTCCTACATGCTGGAGGTGCAATAGTGGTAGGGGCACAATATTACATATTTTCTGGGAATGCCCACACCTGGATACTTTTTGGAAATATGTGCAGAACGTCATACACACCATCTCCGGGCTACAACTCTCCCTACGTCCTGATTTCTACTTGCTCCATTTAATACCGAACGCACACCAACTACCCTCAACGGCAGCTGTAATTAATACTCTGATTGCGGCAAAATTATGTATTGCGTCTCATTGGAAGAGTGACTTTATCCCATCAGCAAAAGAACTGCTAAACAGAATAAACACCACATACTGCTATGAAAAGGAATGGGCCATAAAAGGGAACATGACCAAATTTAACAAACAATGGAAAGGTTGGGAAACCACGTACAAACACCGCATCGACTCGGGATAAATTCCGTCTCTAGAATGGAGTGAACTCTCAGACGCCATTTAAGGTCGCTCGGATGTGAGGGTCTCAGGTCTCAGGCCTCAAGTCTCTTGACTCTTGTTTCCTATCTTCATGACCTAACTTCTCTCTCGTTCCTCCCCTTTCTCCCCCTCTCCTTTCTCTACCCTCTTCTTGTTTCCACTGTACTTCCTCCTCGCCTCCCCCGCCCTCTCTCCCTTTGCATCTCACTCTTATTCATTATCTCCCCTCTACCTCTTATACATCAACTCCTCAAACACTCCAAAATGACTAATCTAAAGGGCCATCGTCTAAGCAAATGCACAATGGAAAGCACGGCTCTATGGCTGGACTGACTGTCCTCACGCAATATATGACACTCACAAGAATATACCAGTAGGCAATATTCCAGTCAAACTATTTGAATCTAAACATGGTATGTCTGTAGACAAAACCCCCTGTCAGAGGCTCCCTCCCACCTTCTGTATGACCACAAGGCCATTATTAACGCATGTTGTACCAGGTACAGTAAACTAAGCACCACTCTGACCTCTCCATGGCTTCTGACTTGATCTATTAACACCCCAGCATACAGACGCTACTATACCGTCAATAGGAGAATCACATGTTCTCGAGTAAGAACCACTAATAATAACAATAATCAACGGTCCCTCTAGCACCTGTACCTCAACTCAATCTAGCGCCACAGGA